CTCTGGTTATTACGCTCATTTCTCAGATTTTGTTACTGAATGAAAGTGTATTTTTATTAAGGACGTACCAATTCACTCTAATAGTATATGTTAGTGCCCATTTCAGTTTGTTTTATTTAATTTCTGTGTTTATCTCTGTAGATCAGAAGCCTACAATTTTTTTTCTGTAAGTAGCCAGATAGTAAATATTTTAGGTTTTGTGAGCTATACAGTTTCTGTCACATCAACTCAACTCTGCTATATATGTATAATGTGAAAGGCATAATATGTAAAGCAAGCATGTCAGACTCTTGGCCCACAGGCTACATGCCTCATTTTTTTGGCCCATGTTAGCCTTTGAGTTTGACATGCTTGATGTAAAGGAATGGGCCTGGCTATATTCCAGTAAAACTAATAAAAATAAGGACACTAGCCATTAAAACAACCTGAAGGAGACTCTAAGGTTGCTGAAATTTTAGGTCAACCAAATAGCTCACAATTAATGATCACCGGATAGACAATGAAATAAGCTGCTATGACAGTTGAAGCAATACACAATATTCAGGGACAACCAAAGACCAGATTTTGTATTTATCAGAAATAAGACTCATTTAAAAATGTGTACTCTGCTTATTCCTTGCTTATTCTCCATTTCAACTGTCACCTAATTTACTGTACTAGATGCCTGGTGCATGAATTCATGCACCAGTTGTATCCTTCGGCCTGGCTTGGAGGATTAGGCCGAAACAGCTCTCTGACATCCCCCAAGGGATCCCAGATTGCAAGAGGGTGCAGGCCAGGCCAAGGGACCCCACTGGTGCACAATTGAGGCCAGGGAGAGACACGGGAGGTTGGCCATCTGGGGAGGGACCATGAGAAGGCTCCAGGGCATGTTGGGCCCATAGCTCAGTCCTAATCAGCCTGACCCCAGCAGCAAGCTCACCTACCGGTCAGTGTCTTCCACCTAGTGATCAGTGCATATACGGGGTTGCAGGCATGTACCCAGTAGGAGGTGTGCAGGAGGCAGCTCATCGATGTTCTCATTGATGTTTCTAGCTCTCTTGCCGAAACCGGTTTGGCTCAGTGGTAGAGCGTTGGTCTGCGGACTGGGGGGTCCCGAGTTCGATTCTGGTCAAGGGCATGTACCTTGGTTGCGGGCACATCCCCGGTGGGGGTTGTGCAGGAAACAGCTGGTCGATGTTTCGCATCGACGTTTCTAGCTCTCTATCTCTCTCCCTTCCTCTGTAAAAAAAATCAATAAAATATATATATAAAAAAATGAAAGCCATGTAATTATATATATATATTGTGTGTGTGTGTGTGTGTGTGTGTGTGTGTGTATATATATATATATATATATATATATATATATATATTAAAAAATATATATGAACTTAAAAGTTCAAAGATAAAATTAAGTATGTCAAGTTGGGGACAGCAAAGCGTTAAGCCACCCATGAAGTCTGAGTCCAGTGCCCTGTACTATGCCATGAGCCCATGACGCTGGTCCCGTGCCTGCCTTTCCCCAGCAGCTCTCATCTGGCACTGAAATCTGTTGATGGGTTCTCATTTCTTTTCTAAACTATTTAGTCGTAGCAGTTTCTTTCTGGCTCTATCTTGGTTTCTTTGGTCCATTTAAGTAAAATGAATAGAACAATTCTGCCCCACATTTTTTTCCCCCCAGAAGAAATATAACTCTATTTGTTTCAATAGTAGGAAATAGGGGAGAAGCTGGAAGCCACATTAGCCCTGTGGGCAGGGGACCCAAGTCTAAAGAAACCTCTGAGGCAGAGAATGTAGATGGGTGCTGTTGCAGAGAGGGGCTCAGAAAGGACTGGGATGGGGCTTCGTAGTTTTGCGCTTTGGAAAAGGACTGGATAGAAATTAGATACTTTTAAAGTTGCTTAAAAGCTAATGCTGAGAAGGGTAGAGGTCTAAAGATTTAATGGTCACTTTGTCTGGAAATGCTTAAAGAAGTAAAATGTTCATTGAGGTAAAGGAGAGAGTCATTTGGCTTAACTGCATCTTCAAGCTTGGATGAGGTATCATCAAAGACAGTACTTTTAAAAAATATATATTTTTATTGATTTCAGAAGAGGAAGGGAAAGGGATAGAGACATAGAAACATCAATGAGAGAGAATCATTGATTGGCTGCCTCCTGCATACCCCCAGGGGAGGAATCAAGCCTGCAACCCAGGCATGTGTCTTTGGCCAGAATCAAACCTTGGACCCTTCAGTCCACAGGCCAACACTCTATCCATTGAAATAAACCAGCTAAGGCTAGGACAGTAATTTAAAAAAGAAAACTTTATTGTTGAAAGTACATATGTCCCCTCTTTTCTCCCACTGACTTCTTATACCCTATCCCCAATAGTCTATTGTCTGTGTCCAAGGTTATGCATATATGCATAAAGTTTTTTTGGTTGATCTCTTCCCAGGCACCAACCCTAGGACAGTAATTTTTAAACTTAAAAAATGCAGTCCACTAGAATTGGAGAACATTATGCTGAGTGAAATAAGCCAGTCAATGAAAGAGAAACACCACAATGACCTCACTCATTTATGGATAATAAAGAACATTATAAACTGATGAACCAAAAGATATCAATAGATATAGAGACAGTAAAGCAACAAGCAGACTATCAAATTACAGCGGGGCGGGTAGGGAGATTGAGGGGAGAAAAGAGACAACCGAAGGACTTGTATACATGCATATAAGTACAGCCAATGGACACAAAACTCTGGAGAGGGTGGGTACGTATGGGGGGGGGGGCAATGGTAAAATATGTACACAGATAATTTAATAAAAAAATAAAATTAAAAAGAAAAAAGAAAAAAAAATGCAATCCACAGTAAGAAACAGACTACATATATTATATTCCAATCTCACACATATGCATAAATAAAATGTCCCATGAAACAATACACGTTTGATGTAATGTGAAATTTTCTATTCTTCTTGTAATGCAGTATGACTCACTAAAGTGACTTCACAACTCAATGAATAATGGATCGCAACCAGCAGTCTGAAACACTCAGATCTAAGGGAAATGAGGAAATGAGTCTCGATGGCTTTTACCAAGGACCCACACTGTCAGAAAAACAAGCAAACATAGAAAATGCTACACGGTGTCTTTAACCACAGGTCTTGTTCTAACATTATAAAGTTTGTAACTTTGCCTACTTTCACTTATCACCTCTGGGTTTCCCCTATTGTGATTTGCAGAAAATGATTATCATTTTGGAATGAACTAGTGGATTTCAAAAAGATTCTTGGTATTTTGTGGTCATTTTCTGATGCAGAGCAAGACTGAAAGCAGACTCATTTCACCTGCTCTTTCTTCTTTTACCCTAGGATGATGTGAAGTGTAAAATGTTGGGTGGTTTCTGTTACAATGTGTGTAATGAGTGTAAGAGTGTGTATTTGTGTTTAATGCTAAAACTAGTCAATTGTGAGTTGTCAGAAAAATCACTGGTTGTGAGAAATGTATAGTACTGCATTCACCATTATTTGTGTTTTGTTTGTTTTTTTAACTTGATGCAAAATTACTTTTTAAACTGCTAAATTTTGTATTGGTTTCTCTTTCTGAAAGACTGGGAGTCAAAACTTAATAATCCCAGTTCTGAGTAAGCATTCTGCATTGTTTCTCTCAAATCCCAGAATAAAACCAGCTGCAATAGTATTTGTAACTCCTACACAGACTGAGGTCTCTTTTCCTGGCCAGGGCCCCTCACTGGCTGATGCCCATTCTCTTTCCTTCTGGTGGCCTTGGGACTAGCTCCTGCCAGGCTGCCTCTGGGGCTAAGGCTTCCAGGTAGTCAGGCTGCTCTCTTTAGGCACATCGTAGGGGCTCAGTTAAATGTGTGTCCTCTGGAAAGGGTTTCCACCTTTGTGAGCCTTGCCTGTCTTCCACTTCCCATCAGAATATCTCTGGGTGAGCCTGCTCATTTCAGCGCCTCACTGAGATGAATGCACTGTTGTGGTTTCCTAAGCCAGAAAATCAGTGCCAGACTCAGGGCTTTGGAAGCCTTTCCTTAGTTTTTGAATTTCACTGTTTAACACACTGGTTCATAGTAGGCATTCAGTGAAATATTGAAGGAGCAAAAAATCAGCCTAGGTGCCAGTCAGCAGATGATTGGATCAGAAAACTATGGTACATCTACACAATGGAATACTATGCTGCCATATAAAAGAAAGAATTCTTACCATTTGCAGCAACCTGGATGGAACTGGAGAACATTATGCTAAGTGAAATAAGCCAATCAATGAAAGAAAAATACCACATGATCTCACTCATTTATGGATAATAAAGAACATTATAAACTGATGAACAAAAAGATACAGAGACAGTAAAGCATCAAACAGACTGTCAAATTATAGTGGGAAGGTTGGGGAGATGTGGGGAGATAGATCAACTGAAAGACTTGTATGCATGCATATAAGCATAACCAATGGACGCAAAACTCGGGGGGGTGAGGGCATGTGTGGGGGTGGGAGGGGCAATGGTAAGATATGTACACATATAATACCTTAATAAAAAAATGAAAAAAATATATTTTGAATGTCTAATGAATTTCAGGCAGTATAGGTTGTGCACATGTGTGCACACATATGTGCACATGTGTGTTTATAGAGGTGAACACCCTTAGGCCTATTCCCTATGAAGAGCTGTCCGGGGAAAACAAAGGGAAGATTTGCACCTTATTGGCCTTGACAGCCTTAGTCCCTAGCACACACAGCCTAGCCTTTATATTTTCTTTAGCACTGTTTCCACATTTGAACATGCACTAGAATCACCAGGAAGGCTCATTAAATCACACATTGCTCCGTTTCAGAAGGTTTGGGGTGGGGCCAGAGACTTGGCATTTTAACAAGATCATAGGTCCCTTGGTGCTGTTGGCCCAGGGACCACACTTTGAGAACCACTGAATTTTCAATAGTAGTAACTATACTTAAGTACTGTTTTACTCCCTACCATGTACCAGTACTATGCTAAGCTCCTTATATGTTACTTTATTATTTTTTAAAAGATCTCACACATTTATTACTGAACCATCCTATTGCAGGAGGGGGAAAAAACCAACAGAGTAAAATCACAAGTCCATTAATTCTCCAATTAAAATGCTCCAACTGTCCAGACAGTAGCATCTTTTCAATCATTTAACGGTGTAGGCAACCTGGATACAGCATAAATATGTGAGTCATCTCTCATGAGTGAGTTCTCATAGGCCCAGTTTGGTTCTTCTCCAATGTCTCCTCTTCGAGTTGTACCTGATTTTATTACCAGTTTTCATCCGAATCCATTGGGGAATGGGCCGATTCTGCTTTTGTTTCTTGGCCAGGAACCTCTTGATCCTGAAAGTCTTGTGGGAAGACATGGTGAAGGAGAGGCGAAGCACGCACCTCGATGGCAGAGAAAGAGCTGTTATTTTATTTATTATCCAACAACCCCAGGAAGTACAAGTTATACCATTTTACAGATGAGGAATCTGAGGACTAAAGGTTTTTTGTTTGTTTTTGAGGACCAAAGTTTTAAAATAACTAGTCCTGTGTCGTAAGGGACAGGGTTGAGGTTTGAACTTGCTTTATATCTGGAGTTTAGAAAACAGCTCACACATCATAGGGGTATAATAAATAAATAATTGTTGGAAAGTAATGCATTTTTAAAGTATCTAATGGACTTTTAAAGTATCTAATTTAGGCAAAAAACCTTTTGTGAATGAAGTAGGAGCATGTTCACATATACCGACTGAGTGTTCAGATTCTCTCTCTCTCTCTCTCTCTCTCTCTCTCTCTCTCTCTCTCTCTCTATATATATATATATATATATATATATATATATATTTTTTTTTTACAGAGAGGAGGGGAGAGGGATAGAAAGCTAGAAACATCTATGAGAAACTTCGACCAGTTGCCTCCTGCACACCCCCCACTGGAGATGCGCCCACAACCAAGGTACATGCCCTCGAATGGAATCTAACCTGAGACCCTTTAGTCCATAGGCTGACGGTCTTTCCACTGAGCCAAACCAGTTAGGGCTGACAATCCTAACTTCTTAGAATTAAAATTCTTAGGCCTGATGTACTGAATCAGAGACTCAGATGAGGGCTACCCACCAGTGTTTTAACATGTGCTACAGGTGATTCTAAAGAACCTTAAAAGTTTGGAAACCACTGCCTAAAGTAGGGCTTAGCCAGACCTGTCCAGCTGTTAATGAAGTTTTTGGAACATAGCCACACCCACTTCTTTACTTATTCTTTTATTTATGTACTAAGTTTCCTGTCCTCTTGGAACTTATATTTTCATTATGGGGTTTGTTAATCATATCTTCATCTGTAAGTAACAAATCCAGCTAAAACTGGCTTGACCAATAAAGGAATATATATTTTATCTTGCATAACCAGAAGTACAGAGGTAGAGTACACTCCATGTCTGGTTGATGCCACAGTTCTTGGTGTTACAAGGGTATGACCGGACAGAGACCTCTTAGCCTAAAAACCCTAAACTAATTACTTTCTGATCTTTGCAGAAAACATTTGCTTGACCCTGACCTCAGGAGAACTTCCTCTGATAATCTAGTTGCAGTTTATTTTCTTTCCTTTTTTTGTCCTATTAATTGCAGTTTCAACCTCTCCCAGAAACATAATCTTAAAAAAAAAAATCTTTATTGTACAAAGTGTTACATATGTCCCCTCCCCTCTCTCCTCCTAGTAACTTCTTCTAGCTGGCCCCCACTTCAGGCCTTCACCACCCTACTGTTTGTGTCCATGGGTTATGCATATATGCATACAGGTTCTTTGGTTGATCTCTTTTCACCCACCTACTCTCCCCTACTTTCCCTCTGAGATTTCTGTCTGTTCTATTCTTCTATTTGGGTAGAATGAATATTGATGACAATTAGCACTTGATGCCAGTTGTTTGGGCTATTATTTTTTTAATTTCCTATGAACCTTTTCTGAAAATAGGTGTAGAAAAAAATACATTTTACTATAAAACTCCCATTAATTAAGCACTGCCAGCGTCTATTTTAAGTGTTTTGTGTATGTATTAATTTACTTAATCCTTACAGCAACCCCAGGAGAGATGCAATTATCCTATATAATAAAAGGCTAATATGCAAACTGTCCCCTCCACTAGGAGTTTGACTAGGGGGCGGCTGATTCCACCTGTGCATGAATCCATGCACCGGGTCTCTAGTTATTTTATAAATGGGAGACATTAAAGCCCAAATGTAATTTCAGTTTTACAGCAAATAAGTGGAAGAGCTAGGTGAAGCTGGAAAGAACTACAAAAAAAAAAAAAAAAAAAAGTTGTCAATAAGTACAAAATAGCTGGTTAAAAATTAGCACTGAGCTAAGTGTAGCACAAAGAATCCCTATTTGGTTCAGGACTTGGATTCAGACTCCAATACAGTACTTATTAGTGCTGTGTCAAGATTTGGGGCTGGTGACTCTGGGCATTGTCCTCGCTTACAAAGGGGAGATAATAATGCTTACCTCACCGGGTTTTTGTTAAGGATCTAGAAAAGGAATGAACGTAAAAGCACGCCGCGGGGAAACAGCTCTGGGCCTTGGATTCCCAAATTTGGATCCGCACGTCAATCCCAGCAGGTAAGAACTCCTAGTACTCTTCCCGGAAGCCCGCGCAGGGCCCTCTGGGACTTGTAGTCTCGCCCTGGCTCCGATCGCCTTTCTTTCTACTCATTGGGGCGGGTGGGTGTACGCCCCGGAAGTACTTGTCTCCTGAGAGGCGGGCTGATCGGGGAGGGTGGGTCAGAGGTCCCGGGGCAGGAGGCGTTCCCGCCGCCGGCACAGGCGCTATGTAGCGGCGAGGCTTGAATCCTCCCGCTCGTTCTGGAAGGTGCCTGGGCTCCCCGGGTGTCGCAGCCCCAGGACGTCTAGTCGCCAGCCTGGGCCCCCGTGGCTGAGCGGAGCCGCCGCCGCCGCCATGTTTGGCTGCTTGGTGGCGGGGAGGCTGGTGAGGATGGGGCCGCGTGGGATCCGGCAAGGGGAGGGGGAGGGGGCGAAGCCCTGGGAAGGGGAGGTGCTCGGGTTCGAGGGCTGCGGGTGGGAAAACCCCTCCTGCCTACTTTCTGGCTGGGGGTGTGGAGTGGAGTCGGGGACGCTTGGGTGTCCGTCCTGTTTTGCCCCGGATCCGTCCACAGGAGGAGTAGTCCCGCTGCCTTTTACGGAATGTGCATTACACGCCGGGGAATGAGTGCACGCCTTTTGTCCATTTCTGTCTTGTTAGCCTTCTGTCTGGCGCTTACTTGGCAACTCCCAACTTAGAAACCCTCACGGCTTGTGAGATGGTTCCCGTCCTCCGGTGCTTTTTGCAGTTGAGGAACTGAAGCTCCGTGGGCAGGATCGCTCATGGAGTGAGTGCGATGTGAGTTTGGCATTTGAATCCAGCCTACAGCGCGCTGTTTACCAAGATTAAGGTGCTAGGGGGCCCTTTCCCCCTCCCCATGTGGGAGTCTGTTCTGTGGGACTCTTCCTCCTCTCTACATGGGAGCCTGTCCTTGTTCTTCAATAAATTTCCACCTTTGCTATGCAAAAAAAAAGAGAAGAAGATTTAAGGTGCTCGGAGCATGTTTAGCGGCGGGGTCCCTTTGGAATTGTAAATTGGCTGATGGGAACGCCCGAAGTTTAAGAGGGAGCCAAATCTGAGCTGACTCTGGAAAGATGTGAGCGGCTAGTTTCCTTATTGGTCAGAAGAGGGAGATTAGAATTAAAGGAGACCAGCACCTGGAATTGTTCAGGAATCATCTGGAAGGTGTGTGCTGCTTGCCTCCTTAGAAACCACCGAAGAGGTTAATTTCAGACCTAACTCCTTTTACTTGGAGTTCTTTTTCTTTACCTTTTTCCCCCCTCCCTGATTTGTTCAGTGTTGCAGCCCCTTAGTTGAATGTTACATTCCCCCCCCCCCCCTAATGTATTGTATTATGTACACAGTTCTAAGGAATCACAAAGATAAATTGGAGATGACTGGCCTGAGCAAGTTTTTGTTTGTTTGTTTGTTTGTTTGTTTGTTTTTTGTCTGTCTCTTGGGTGGTTGGGAGGCCTCTTTTGGTGATGGTGATAAATGGGTAATATTGATAAGATAACTTTGGATTATCCTGGCTCTTGATAAAAAAAAAATTGAAAGGCCTAGGATGAGTGTTGGATTCAGATGAAAAGTGTCATCAATGAGTGACTTTGGAAAAAAAATGAGTGTTTTCTTTCTTTGGTTTTTTTTGTTATTGACTTGTTTTATATTTTTCCATTGATTTTAGAGAGAGTGGAAAGAAGAGGGAGGGACAGGGAGAAACATAGATGTGAGAGACACATTGGTTAGTTGTCTCCCAAATGTGCATCATCTGGGGTTGGGGATCAAGCCTGTAACCCAGATACATGCCCTCGATCGGAATGGAACCCAGGACCCTTCAGTCTGTGCGCTGACACTATCCACTGAGCCAAACCAGCTAGTGCTCTTTCTTTCTTTAATTCTCACCCGAGGATATTTTTCCATTGATTTTTAGGGAGAATGGAAGAGATAGGGAAAGACAGAGAGAAACATTAATATGAAAAAAACACATTGATTGGTTGCCTCCTGCAAGATCCCTGACCAGGGCAGGGCCCAAGGAGGAGCCTGGAACCAAATACAGGCCCTTGACTGGAATTGAACCCGGATCCGATGGTCTGCAGGCTGACACTTTATCCACTGAGCCAGACCTGCTAGGGCTCTTTCTTAAAAAAACAAACAAAAAACCCACACACATTTATATATACATATATATCTATAATAATAAAAGCATAATATTCTAATTAGACCAGATGTCCTGGACTAAGCTGGGGCTGTGCGGAAAGCCTAGGTCCCTGGTGCCTGCCAGTGGCTGGAGGGAAGCTGGGGTCCCGGGTGCCAGAGGGAAGCTGTGCTGGCAGCCGTGGGAAGAAAGGCCTACTCTCGCTCAAATTTCGTGCTTTGGGCCTCTGGTGTGTGTGTGTGTGTGTGTGTGTGTGTGTGTGTGTGTGTGTGTCTATATATATAATTCAGATTTTGTGGTTTGGTTAATAGGAAGGCAATACCAATTATAAACAAAATCAAAAACCTTACAGAAGGCAAACTCTAAAGCCATTTGACGAGTTTGCTCAAAATTGATCCTTCTTTTTGCTAATGGATGTGGTATAGGAAGTTATTATAGTAATTTTCTGAAAATTTTGTAAAGCTATGGCTGGGTGGTGCATTTCGTTGGAGGATTTTCCCATACATCAAAAGGTTGCAGGTTTGATTCCTGGTCAGGGCATATACCTAGGTTGCAGGTTTGAATTTCCAGTTGGGTGTGGAGGAGGCACTCCAACAATGTTTCCCTCTCACATTTAATTCTGTCTGACTATCACTTCCTCTCGCTCTAAAATTAATAAGAAATAAAAACA